TTCTGGTCTCGTTTTCGTGGCGTTTGTTTTGTTTTGTTCTAGCACTGGGCGCGTCTCGGACCATGGTATGTCACGCAGGAAGCGTTGGACAGGGGCGTCACCCGCGGCGGGAGCTTAGGGTTTTTGACCAATTGCTTCGGGTGTGTAATCAGCGTGGCCTGTCCAATCTGTCCTGCCTTGGTCCCGCCCTGATAGTGCGGCCGTTGGAATCCTTTGTGATAGCGATGGTTTCTTTTATGTTTTGAGTTTGTAGGCGAGGGTTTTTGATCCGGATGGCCGAGTTTTCCCTTGCACCCGTTGTTGTATGAGTAACTTAAGTAGATCTGGAGTATCCATGCCCCACTGATGGTTTGTCAATAGCTTGACGAACCGGGGAGGGTGTTCGTGTGTCTGGATACGAGCATGGTAGATCTTCTTGCAGCACGGGGGGGTACGTAGACAGGAGCACGCGTATGCCTGAAAAAGGCTACTATGTGTGGGCCCCCTTCCCCGACTTCGGGAGGGCCACTTCTTCCCTTCCTTTCCTCGCTCCCGCGGGTGCCTAATAAGAGATAGTTAAAGCGTGTCTTCTCCTCCCAAGTACGGACATACCAACAGGTGCTGCTGAAACCTGCGAAGCAGAACCTACTGCTGAGAATCTCGCAGCACCCACACCCACACCCGAAAAGGCAGCTCTCCCGCCAACCACCAACACTCTGAGCGCGGCACATGCTGAGAATCCTGCAGCAGCACCGCGCTCAGGAGAACCATCGTGCACCAACAAGCCCTGTGGCCTGAGCCAGGGAAGGATATGCCGGAGTTTTGCGGCAGGCATGCGAAGTCTGGCGACGTCTACATCAAAATAAGGAGTGCGCAGAGCGTCTTGCAGTTTGCAGCACATGGGTGTTTGTGAGGATTCTCATGGCTCCAGCAAACCAAAGAGCATGCCACGCCTGATTGCCTGATCGATAACCAGATCGAAAAAAGAATGTGATTTTATCGTCATGTCGTCGAGCTCGCCTCACTATATTTCGGCATGTTCACATTATTTTTTCATGTAGTTCAAGTATATCATGGTGTGTAGGCGAAATGTTTACTGGATTGTTTTTTTTACACATACGACACGTTTCCGCGTACCGTTTTTTTGTGTTTGTGATGTTTCGGTAGGAAGACTGCGAAACCCGTATCCAACACGTGCAAATATGTAAACATGACCTCGACAGCAGTTCGTGCCTGTTTGTGTGAGATACGAAATAGGTGCCGTCAGCTGCTCACCCTCTGTACCTTGCAAGCGTGGACGCCATGACTCTCAACCTGGTGGCCGTTGTCAGAGCTATCGGCTAGCCATCGTATTTTTGGTACGTTTGTCTGATGGTCGTTGGAGCGAGCGCATTGTTACAGACACTGCACTTAATGACACGTATGCTACATACTTTGTTGCTTCCTCGAACTCATGCGCTTTTCAGGAACGTGCACCAGCCTGAAGCACCGACGACAGCAGCCGCAGCGGCGCCCGTCGGCGACACCATGTTTCCTGGAGAGTCAGAGGAGTGGACAGATGGTTTCGGTAGGCATCCCGACGGCACGCCGGCCGAGGGCAAGGGCAAGGGCAAGAGGAAAAGAGAGCCGCTGGGATTGGAGCCACCAAACTTCCCCATTAATATTTGGTGGTAGCCAGAAACGCAAGCGGTACGATTTGGAATTCAAAGTAAACGCCATTAAGTACGCGACCATGCAAAGCCCGGGGGCGCAGGGGCCTAATGGAACCATCGGTGTGTCGTATGCGCAACGAGTGCTTGGGATTCCTAAGAAGATCACACTCTCTGCGTGGATAAAAGACAGAACGAAGTACGAGAAGCAGCTGGAACAGGCAGACCAGCTCGGGGCCAAAGGCAAGAAAAAAGCCCGGAGCGTGAAGTCGTTTAACACGGGGAGGGTAAGGTCAAACGCTGAGGCCGAGCTCGAACTTCTCGAGTGGATCAACGATGTTCGTTCGGAAGCTATCTCTGCCCGCGTCTCTACAAGGATGATCAAGAACAAGGCGGTATCGCTCAACTCGCTTTGGTTCGGCCCGAGGCCTGCAACGAACGACCTGGAGGGCAGTAGAAAGTACCGCAACAAGCAGATTCACTGGTGCAGGAGGTTCCTTAGGAAGTACCGGTTGTCATTCCGGGCGATTACCAGGCAAGGCCAGAAACTCCCTTCCGGGTGGCCTGCGATTGCCATGAAAGCCGCCAAGGAATGGAGGGCGATTCGTCACGGAGGAATCGACGGTGCAACGAGCAGTGCTCCTTCAAAGCTACCTCTGTTGTTGAAGGAGGAGCAGAGCTACAGCATGGATGAAACTGCTGTGTGGATGGAGCCCGCTGGCACGTCGACCGTGGCGGTGAGTTTAAAAGTGTTGCTTCGAATCATGTGCCTGTCTGGTCGTTTCTTCGCATTCCGTGCAAACAGTGGGCATTGTGGTGCCATATTTCTTGCCGCATACTTACTCAGTGTCCAGCCAGTAAGGCTAGACGACGTTGGTATTGCGCTATGCCGGGTTACAATTTTCTTACCATTCTCTTCCATCATCACTGTACTGCAAAACCTATACGTCACTTTGTGCGTGAGGAGCTGTCATTCTCATCTACGAAATCGACTTTTTTCGTCACCTTTGCTTTCTCTATTGCTTTTTGCTTTCGCAGCACACCGGTCAGAAAGAGGTGGCCATCAAAACCGGTGGAAAGGAAAAGTTGCGGATCACTGCCGTGCTTGCAGCAAACACGAAGAGAGGCAAACTACCGCCGCTGCTCATCTTTAAGGGTAAGCCTACGGCGCCGGGTAAAACCCCCGCTGCCAACAGCATCGAACGAGAGTTCAAGGTGGGCAACGACAAGAAGGGGATAGCATACCCTCAGAGCGTTGTGTACGCCGTGGACGACAAGGCGTGGCACACGCAGCGCGTCTCCAGGGATGTTTGGCTCCCCCAAGTGTGGAACCGGCGCCCGGGTCGCGATGGGGTCCTGGGCAACTACCGTCAGCCGGACACGCTGCTATCGTGGGACGATTACACCGTGCACAAGACAGCCCTGTGCAAGGAAGCGATGGACAAGTCCAACACGACGCTGTTTTTCGTCCACGGAGGCCTAACGCCCAAGATCCAGCCTTGCGATGGACTTATCAACAAGCTGTTCAAGTCCAACATGTCCAGGCTGTACGACAACCATATGGCCTCCACCGACGCCGTGCGCAACGACGGCGGCTACCCGGATCCCCCATCGAGGGGATTGATTGCGCAGTGGGTGAAGAAAGCGTGGGATGAAGTGGACCCTGAGAGCATTCGTTCGAGCCGGAGGAAGGCTGGCATGACCCTTGCCTTCGATGGATCTGAGGACGAGGCGTGGGCCAACAAGGAGCGCAACTTCAACGCCCAAGGGAAACCACTTCGTGCGGACGGCGACGCGGCCGCTGCCGGCGTGGAGGAGGCTGGCCCATCGGAGGAGGGGGAGACGATGGCCGACTTGTTGGAGGTGTTGGAAATCGACGACGATGACATCTCGGGAGATGGCGAAGGCAACGATGACTCGGAGGTTGAGGTCATGGCAGACTTACCGGGGGCGGGCGTTGTTTGCATAGACTGTCTTGTCTGGTATCTACCTACCGTAGTTGCATGCCATGGTCAAGTCAACCAAAGCTGCTATCAGAGTCAATTTGTCCTGTGTTTCATATATTTCGGTAGTCGCTTGTCCTCTTGGTTTCTAGCTTTGGTTGACATGTAGCCGGCACTGGCTTGTGCCCTATGTGGTTCCAGCTTGAGTGGTGAACGCAAGTCTTGCAAGTGGTTGCGTCGTCCAGGTACCTGTGTGCTGTCGTTTTGTCGCACACAACACCGGCACAACCGCTATCAGGTATCGGTACTACGTCTTCGTTGTGTACGTNCATGTAGCCGGCACTGGCTTGCGTCCTATGTGGTTCCAGCTTGAGTGGTGAACGCAAGTCTTGCAAGTGGTTGCGTCGTCCAGGTACCTGTGTGCTGTCGTTTTGTCGCACACAACACCGGCACAACCGCTATCAGGTATCGGTACTACGTCTTCGTTGTGTACGTATGCGAAGAATTTCCAAAGGATACTGCGAAAATGCACGTGGGAAAGCATGTACGTGATGGAGTGGTGCGAGCCACCGTAGCTATCACACCTGTTTTACACCCCTTCACGCCCTTTGTAGGTGGGTGCCTCCTTTGAGCGCACTGCATCACTCGGGCGACATTATTATCACACCCCCGTAGGTAGGGTCCTGTGAGCGCACTGCAACCACACTGGCGACATTATCACACCCCCGGCAGGCCGGGTCCTGTGAGCGCGTATCATCACACGGGCGACGGTATCACACGCCCTTGTTATCACACCCCCTGCAAGCCGGGTCCTGTGAGGGCGCTTCATCACACGGGCGACGGTTTCACACCCCATCGTTATCACATCCCCTTGTTATCACACCCCCTTGTTATCACACCCCCTGTTGTTGAGACTGTGAGTGCACTTTATCACACAGGTGGCATAAGATATCACACCCCCTACAGAATACCACACCCATGTGATAACTTTTGCCCCCCCGAAAATGTTATCACACGGGTGTGGTATCTTTTACAACCTACGGTAGCTCGTTGGTCCACAAAAAATGGGGAGCCCGTGGTCTCAAAACCCGGCGCATACGACGCCGCGGAGAAACAAAACAAAAATAGGGTGCAAATGTTACGGTTCGGGGTTTTATTGTTCCGCAGGTACACCCCCACAGAGGTTGTTGGCCGCATTCAGCGGAGCCTCTGCAAGAAGAGCTGTTCGGACTTGCCCTCCTCTGCTAACAGCCAAGCTACCATCCGGAGCTTACCCTAAAAGAATAAGATCATAACATCCATGAGGAGGCCTTTGCTCCGACACTACACCTGCCACTACAGCGGGTACGAGTATCTTCACTACTCATCGC